TTTTTATATATTTTGTGATTTTTTTTTCGCCCACTATATTTTAAGTTACCACCCCTTTTTTTGTTTTTCCTATGGCCGCCATATTGGAATTTTACATGATAAGATAAAAAAATCAAGGAATTAAACTGCATAAGTTTAATTTCAGAAAGTCAAAAATGATTTTTTTCAATCATTGGCGTACTTCTTTTTCTCTTAAAATATTATCCCGATTTTATGTTAATCCAGGTCCACATAACTTTATGTTGAGTTTATATTCAACTGTAATTAATCTAATTGAATAGGTAGTTTGTATAACAAACATTTTATAGATTTAATAACCAAATAATTCAACCATAATTCATGTAATTTTCAAAAAGGACCTTATTTTTATAAACCTTTATGTACACTCAGCAACAGTGGCGGCGCCAGGGGTGGGCGCGGTTGGGCGAGCGCCCAACCCAAATTGTTCCTGCCCAACCGCTCGCCCAACCTGCTAAACTAAACATTTGAGCAAAAAATTGTGAGAGGTCGTTTAGTGGCTTAAAAAGAATAAAAATTTAAGGACTACAATGTTACAAGAGAGGCTCACAGATTTAGGAATATTGTACGTTGAAAAAGTATTGTAAAAGCAATGGACTTAGATATCCCAAGCAGCATTTCAAGTAAAAGCGTAGAGCTTTGAGGCAATATTACTTAATTTAAGTAAATATTTTGTTAAATTAACCTTAAAAATTTACTTTGAAGTAAAACTTTTTTTAAAGTTACATAATAAGTTTTATTTATGTTATTTTTCCCTATTTTAATAACCCTTAAGATTCAACACTTTAAAGTTTTATGAGGGATATAATTTTTACAAAAGAAAACTACTTATAAGTGTATTTCACCTAAAGGAAAATTTAACGGTAATTTTAACGTCAGAATTTGTACTTAATAACTTTATAACCGTAAATAATTCCTATTCGCCTGGTATTTTTTAGGGTTATAAGTGGTAATAAATACTATTAATATTGACTACTCGCATGACTTAAAAGAGCTATCTAAATTACTTACAATAATGAACTCATTAAGAAAAACAATTAATAATGAATTCTATACTAACCGATATAAAAATCTAAAAAAACTTTATAAAAAAAGTTGCTTTATGAAAAAAGAACTTACAATAATAACCGTATCATTAATGCAGAAAATATTAATAAAGAGGCCTGGAATATCATCAAAGATAGCCAGGGAACAAAAGCTGAAAAAAGTTCATGTGAAAAGATTCAAAATAAGGACGGCAAAATAGAAACAGATCCTAAAATTGTGGGGAACATATTCAATGATTTCTTTGTTGATTGCGCTAAAAACTTAGTAGAAAATATAGAAAACAAAAATAGAGAAAAAGCAATAAATAACTTCCATAATAATTCCCACATAACAAACAGGAACTTTTTCCTTACTCCAACTACACCGACAGAAATAGTACATGCAATATCTCAGGTGTGTAAGAAAAAGTCTAGTGGCATTGATAATATTCCGGGTCACGTCATAAACGCAGCCCGCAATTGTTTAGCTTCTCCCCTGTCATTTATTATAAACAAAAGCTTTGTAGAGGGTAAATACCCACAAATACTTAAAAAATCGAAAATTATACCCGTTTTCAAACACAAGGGTAGTAGGCACGATAAACAAAACTATCGACCTATCGCGCTACAATGCCAGTTTGGAAAGATATTTGAATATGTTTTTAATAAGAGACTTATAAATTTTCTGGAAAGCAACTATTTGCTCTCGAGTCATCAAAACGGTTTCCGCAATGGTCGGAGCACACAAACGGCACTAAAAGAAACTTTCGATTTTATACATAAACACTTAGACAATAAGAATCTTATCCTTGCACTCTTTTTCGATTTAAGTCGAGCTTTCGACCTTATAAATCATGATATACTAGCCGATGAACTTCATGACATTGGTATCAGGGGCACTCCCCTTGATTGGATTATGTCATACATATCAGATAGACTACAGGTTGTGAGTATAAATAATACAATTTCGGATACAAAATATACAGACATAGGCACACCACAGGGGTCATGCCTATCTCCTACCTTGTTTAATATTTTTATAAATTCGCTGCCTGGACTACTGGAAGACATAGGACTTCCAGTACTCTACGCGGATGACACTAATGTACTGATTGCTGCGGGGAACATTGATGACCTGAGGAAAAAGGCGCATGCATGTATCAAAATCGTCACAGAGTGGGCCATCAGGAAAAAGCTTAAAATTAACACAGAAAAGACCATGGCTATGCAGATTTTCCCATCCAACGCATCTATTAATAAATATCCTCTTATAAAACATAACAATAAATCAATCCCAATTAGCCCAAGTACAAAATTTTTAGGTCTCCACATGGATCAAAAAATAACATTTTCCACCCATATTAATAAATTAATATCACAACTTAACAGCTCTTGCTACCTTTTAAAAAATCTTAAAAATACAGTTTCGACCGAAGTACTAAAAACGGCATACTATGGTCTATTTCAGTCAAGATTGAACTACGGCATTTTATTGTGGGGGCAAGCTACGGAAGTGGCTAAGGTTCTTACAATACAAAAAAAAGCACTACGATATATGTTCGGACTAAGCAAACGATCATCTTGCAGGGAATGTTATAGAGAACAAGGAATCCTAACTCTCACTGGACTCTATCTTTATTCATTATTAACATATATCAAGTCCAAACCCCACTTACCAAAAGAAGATGTCCACGGTTATGATACCAGGTACAAAAACAATACAATACAACCTATTGCGAGACTAAAGGTATCAGAAAAAAACCCTGATTATGCAGGGATACTCTGCATGAAAAAACTTCTCCAATTAAATAAAAAATTTGCTAACTACAACAAAAACAAATTTAATAGAGAATTAAAAGAATTTTTAATAAACAGAACCTATTACTCTTTAAATGAGTTTTTAAATGATTAAAATGTATGTTCTTTTAGACTTATTCCACGTTTATAAACTTTGACGATGTCCATATTTTGTTAAGTATATAATTACATGTATTTATGCTGTAACATTATCAGACTAATAAATTACTTTACTTTACTTTACTTTACTAAACAAGGAAAAATAAGCTTAAAGTGAAAAACAAAACTTTAAGGTCGCCATAATGAGTTATTTAAGATGACTTATCTAAACATTTATATAATATTTTTTCATAAATATTTTTCTAAAATATAATAGGAAAAGTTTTATTTAATAAAAAATGATTAAAACTAAATGATTTTTAAAAGATCTTATAAAATTTTGTACGTTTTAAGTTTTGTTAAATTTTTATCCAAGCAATAATTTTTCTTAAAACCGTAAAATATTTAGAGGGCATATAATTTTTTAAGATGTATCGTGCACGCCTATCTTTATCAATAAAATAATGTGCGTTTGAGTTTTAATGCAAAATAATATTAGTTTTGACAATTTTTGACTTATTTTGTAAGTACCATTTTGTAAAATATAAATTAAAAGAACAAAAAAATACGAATGTCCATGTTTTAGAAAGAGAAAGCAAACTGTTAGTAATTATAGCGTTATTTTTACGTAAATTTGTGGTATTTATATTGTTTTTATTGCGTTATTCTCTTAGTAGATTAAAATGGTTATTATGTAGGTAAAATAACAAAATAAACCATTCCCCAAATTTGGTAATTTTTCGTAACTATACCGTTATAAAACCGTTTTGGTTAACCGTAAAAAATACTTTAAAGTTGACTTAGTAGTAAATTTGTAGGTATTTAAACTTAAAATGCTGCTTGGGATAGTTGTAGATTCTTTTGCAATTAAATTTAACATGTTAACATAATAATAGAAAAATAGCGCTTTCCTAATCGACCTAAACGTTAGACTGTGTCTGTTATAGTTATATATATATCATGCGTTTTCGTGTAAAATAAACTTAATTTCTGTGTTTTTTTTTCGTTTTAGTTTGTATTTCACATTTATTCACAAATCCGCAAAATATCTATAATTATAATTAGTGGGTACATTATACAATTTATACCTATTATCTGAAACATTACCTATATACCTAAAACATATTTTTGCTGCCCACAATTTAAATTTTTCTGCCGGGTGTCGCCCAACTGGAAAGAAAAAGCTGGCGCCGCCACTGCTCAGCAACAAAAGTATTTGTTGGAAATTGGGAACTTAAATGTTGTAATATTTATCAATTTACTAAACAAAACATACCTACATAAATGAACACAAAAATAACATTCACACAATTAAATAACACACCATTCTAAAATCACCAAATTATAAAGAAATTTGGTACAATATAATTATCAGTACTACTACAACACTTACTGATGTATTTCGTAACTTTAACCCACTTCACTCTATCCCCTAATTTCAGTGTGAAAACCAGCGATGGCATCTTTTTTCGAATATTTCGCAAACTCGTTAAATAGGTATAAAAATCACAATAACAATACTAATGTGTTGAACATTAACAAAATAATCTATAACCTTTGAAATTAACAAAAAGCTTACAAAAATGCATATTACCTTTACTATATTTTATATTTTATGTTTGGTTTAAAATCTAACAGATTTCGTTTGTTTTTTGTGTTTACCTTGTTTTAATAGAAGAACAAATTCCAAGAATTTTTTTTAAAGAAACAATTAAATGGTTGGATGTATTTTTCAAATAAAACAATCTCAGAATATATAAAAATGCACATTTTTTATGGACTTGGAAATGTTAAAAATATTTGCATTTCTATATCTTCTTTAAAAGGAATTGTGATATAATTAAAATACATTTTCAGTAATTTAACTTCAGTCATCTAAATAATGTTCTTCTATAGACATGAAATAAACAAAAAACACAATTAAAATTAGTTCTAAATAGGTAAAGTAAAGACAAATTTTTTAACAGTTGCATTTGCAAAATAACCAAAATCTTTGTACAAAAACTGTTGTAAATACTTGTAAAAAATTAACACGTTTGTCATTTTTGAATTATTTTGCAGCGGCAACATGGCATATTTGACTCATTAGTGACCTCTTTATCAACATTTTTGTGGCCCGTGGCGAATCCATTTTCCCCTGTAAGTTTTTATTTTTGTTTGTTTTCCTGTGCTAACATAAATTGTGACTAACGTATAACGAAATGCGATTTAAATTAGAGTAAGCGATGTTTTAACGGACAGGTCCATTTGTTTTTTGTTTTGTTTTTTTATTTGTTTTGTTTTAAAAGCGTAGGTATTACGTGCTCTTCTGGTGCATAATGATAACGTTTTAAAAATTAGTTTTATTAGTTTTATATTTTTCTCTTTTACAATGTTTGCTGTAAAATAAGTAAAAATCAATTTAAATCGATGTTTTGTTATTGGTTTATGTCTTTGGGGTTGCAGTTGCTTTTATAAACCTTTGGAATATTGGAAACCGCATATTTAACATTATAACGTTGCTTGCTATTTAAAGTTTAATGTATGTAGGTGAATCCAGGTATGTTATTATTAATGTAGTGTAGTAATACTGTAAAACTTTGATGTGTGCAAAGGATTTAAAAAAAAATACATTAAATAATATTATTAATTTTTTTCATTGACTTTTGCGGTAAATGTTAAGTATACCTACTTTTTGACGTCAAATCGATACGCCAAGAGGGCACTATCAACTTAAAAATTTCATATGTATATGTATATTCAGCATTGTAAAATTCCACTTTCAGAAAAAAAAACCAATCCATTTTAAGAAAAAAAAATACAAAAAAAATATTTGATGTCAATTTCTTCAATTTTTCAGTTATGCTGCTAAATCCGCAGTGAGCTAACTTTTCTTTATATTTTTTTAAATTAACAATTAACTTTGGAAAAGCGGCATTAATCGCCGAATAAATTGAAGTTTTTTTATAAAAAAAAAATTAAAAATGGCGATCTAAAAAATTTATGAAAATTGACGTAAAAATATTGTTTATACACTGTTCAAAATTTCATGACCATTTTAACACCAAATTAACACCATACATGGTCTATATCGATGCAAACCAAAATGGTGTTAATGGTTCGTTGGTCCGGTGTAAATTCAAATACTAAAATAGTGTAGATTTAACTTTCACACAGTATTAAAATAAATTTTACCTGGTGTAAATTAAACTCCTTTTCAATGTTTATTATGTGTTTTTGGTCAAATTAAATCATTATACACAGAAAAAAAGAAAAAAAGGGAAACAGGAAGTTCCTTGACGCATTACTAGTATATTACCAGTAGTATTATTCCAGAAAATTGAACCTTCAACTCGCTAGAGATAATGTTTTAGTGCGTTCCACCAACTTCAAATACTTCAAGTATTGACAGCTGTTTCCGCCTATTTAAGGTATCTTTAGTATCGAACAACTTGTAGTGTCACACCAAAGCAAAGGACTACCTGAGCTTATATACTCTTCATGTCAGTCAACAGAGGCGAGATTTAAGAACATCACGTGATCCACACCGCCTTTGCCGCGATCGGTATACACTATGCAACCAGGAATGCACGGAAAATTGTTTTAATCGTTTTATCAGATTGCTTTAGGTTTAAATAACCCTTATTTTACAAACAACATATTTAGTAAACTGAACCATACAGCGGGTTGGTTTCACTAAAGTTTTCTGGGTTAATTTAACAAATTTAAAAAAAAATAAAATAACTATCTGGTTTAGTTCCGTCAAACTAATCTTTGTTTATATTAACCTTCCCACATTTGATTTAAATAAATACTTATGGGTCAACTAAATTAATATAGTTAAATGAACTATTCCTTTTTTTCTGTGTAGGTGCACTTCTCAAATATTTTTAGATTAACACCGTTTTGGTGTTTGCTGTATATAACATTTTCAACCATAATATTGGTGTTGGATTTTGACACCATTTTAGGATTACTTTTTACACCACAGATATTTTAAACAGTGTATTTTTTTTTAAAAAGTACCTATATTCAAAACCAAAATTTAAAAAAACGCCCTATTTAGTCAATATTAAAAAAAGTTGTCTGTATTTAAAAAAACGGATTTTTTTTTTAAAATTTAAACTTTTTTTTTTGGTGGGTGAAAAAATTTAAAAAATTCTTAGAAACATTTTTAGGTCGGGTTTAAAAGTGGTCGATTTGGCGTGGAACGAATTTAAAATTAATATGAACTGTGTATGGAATTTTAAATATTTTAAATCGCTATTGGTTTCGTATCAAAGTTTTCATTCAAATTTAAAGCTTGAAAGGTCGCCAACATCTTCAAAGTCAATGTTAAATATTTAGGTTTGTAGGTTAGTTAATTATAATTTTTGTAAAAATAGGTGGTTATATTGAAGCCTTATTTATTTTAGAACATTTTTATAAAAAAACATTCCTCAGTAACGCCATCTGTCTTCAAACACGGGTACTCATTGATCCCCCTTGTATGTTCATATTTGTCATAGTTGTCAAAAGTGGTAAACAAACATGTTTTAGGTCAAATTATAAAAAAAATTCGACACTAAACAGTTTCGAGCCAAAAGAAAATACAAGGTCAGAATTCCCAAAATGGCACCGGATAAAGCAAATGTTTTGTCGAAAATTTCTTGCAATTTTTTGTCCAGTATTTATATGCCTACTTAACTGTAAATAAACAAAAAATAGGTACATTTTAACATTTTCAAAATAAAAACTTTCTGTGTTACATTTAAAACTATTTAAGCCTCACCTTAAATAATTTTTTTGTTAGATATAGTCTTTATTTTATGCTACTTTAGGCCTTAGGCTATTTCATTTTTTGTAGTCTTTATATAGGGTGACTCATTTGACTTGAAACTTTGAAATATCTCAGTTAGTATGCATTTTATGTTAAAATAAAAATTAAATGATTGGAGGGGGAAAATCAATCAGTACTAAAATTAGTCCTCATACTCTCCTCCTTATAGGGGGAACAGGGGGTAACTTTAAAATTTCCAATGGAACACCCTATTTTTTTATTGCAGATTCAGATAACAAGTCTGCTTCGTTTATAGAATAGACCTTAAATATTTCTTTTAGAAAACGTCGAACTTTTAATTTTCTTAGTGATCTTTTTGATATTTTTATCATGCTAGATTTTACCACACTTTACTCCCACAAGTGAAATCAATAAGATTATTACACCGACTGTGGATTATAAAGTTATGTTCACCAAGGAGAGCGCTGGCCCTTTCCCCCTCTTTTTAAGGAAATAACAAAAATTTTGTTACCATTGCAAAACAATGGTGAATATTAAAAAAGTCTTTTTATAGTAATAAAATATTTTTGTGATTTTTCTTAACATAAGCTATTAACAAAGATTTTCTATCTGAAATAAAATTTATTTGAATTACAACGATAGTAATTTAAAAAAGACAAATATGCCATAGTAAAATGAACAAATTTTACTATAAAAATTGCTGCTTCAGAATTTTATTAACAGTAAAAAAATGTATTCTGTAAATAAAAATAATCTCAATACTTTTACAAATCGTAGGTTTTTGTCCCAATAAGACACTAAAAATTGAATAAAAAAGATACCTTAGGTGGTACATTTTTTATAGCCATTACAATTTTAAATTTAAGTTAAATAATATTATTTTATTAATCGCTTACGAAATTAGCTTCATTATCAGTGCATGTACATTTTTCAACTCATTTTATAAACTTCTCTTGACACTCGTTTTTATTAAACACTCGCTCGTGTCTAATAAAACATAAATGGCGATTATAAAACTTGATACATAATATAATACTATTTATTATTTCTTTTAAACAAAAAATATTCTTTTGCACCGCAAACCGCAACAAATTTTAAATGTTCATCAAATAAAAAAATCGACTTTTTTTGTGCAATTTCAGGATTATGCCCAAAAGATTTTTTAACCATACAACGTCTGCAGAGGCAAATTTTTCAACTAATGAAATGAACTTGAATTTTATTTTTTTTATAAACTTAATTTTAATTTTGAACAAAAAACAAAAATTTATATTAACCAAATTAAAAAAAAACTATTACTAAAACTCCTTAAGTATTTAAGTAATTAAAACAGTTTAAATAAAGCTTCACACGCAAACCTAAAAATAAACTTCCTCCTTGTATAACTTAACCCGATTCCAAGTGATATTTTATTGTCGGAAAAAGGCAAGACACTTAAACATAGTTTGCAACTCGTTACTAGTTTCACAACCGGACTACATGCAGGAGTTTAAGTTTGAAAGTAGCGAAAAGTTTTCGCTCGTTATTGGAAATAACAGATGTTTTGGATTTTCCGATACATTTTTTTAACGACTAATTAATTTTCATGGATTTTATTATAAAACGTTTTTAGTTATAAAACGTGACTTTAATTTAATAAAGCGGAAAATATCTGCCCTTTTAAGGCCAATTAATAATTTATTGTATGGCTTTTTTGTGTTTAAAATGTTTTCACTGAATACAGAACAATACAACTTTGTGTTATGATTATGACAGGTTTTAAATACATAAATACTGATACTTAACAGGTCTTGAATTAAATTCCGGACCCTCTTACATTTTGCCTGCGCCCTATACCTTTATTCCAAAATTGAGAGCTTAACATTTCATTGCAATAAATTTGGCTGCTTGGTTATAATGAAACATGAACTCTATTAACTACATTGCTGTATAGTTAGGATTGACAGAAGATTTAAACAAATCATTTATTGCATTAGGTATAATTGCTAATATATTAAAAATAAATAATATTTTATTAAATTAAAATAAAAAAGACTAAAATACTATTGATTAAACCACAGACATATTGGATTTTGCTTCTATATTTTAAGGGCATAGAAGAAAGAAAATTTTCTTTAAATATAGAACAAGATTTAAAAATGATTTTTATCTATTTTGCGTTCATAATAACTTTATTATAACACCGCTTTCGGTGCTGTAATGAGATACTTTATCCCACCCAACATTTATTCTTTAAACAACATAATATTTTTCATATTTGTTATAATATTTTTATGATTTTTTTAGTACTTACGAGACTTTTATGGCAATAAATTTTGTTTAACACTAAAGAAAATCCTTTTTTCTTCTTTAACATAAACAGCCGCTTATTGTAAATAAGTAAATTAAGGACGGTATGGCGAATCGATTTTGACATTAACTGTCAAACCAATGACTATCTAAAGTAAAATTCAATCAAATTAAATTTAAGGTATAAAATTAATTTTTATTATAGAATTTTTGCAGAATAGATAAAATAGCATAAAGAACTCATGTCATAAGACCTTTTGTCGCACTCGTCCATTACAAAACTCGCTCCTTCGTCGCTTGTTTTATAAAACGCCCATTATCGTACATGTTTCCATGACACAATAGTACTAGTGATATTTGACCCACTTTGTATTATTTTAAATGTGACCTTTTGTATTTTAATCCATAGATTTTAAAAAGTGTTACCTAAGTTTAAAATACTAGAATTCCATATTTCCAAAATAAAATTGTTGAATGTTAAAAATTGTACACATAAAATGCGATTTTTTTATAATTTTGGATGAACCACATAATTATTGGACACTTAAGGAATATTATTTATTTAAAATTTCGAGTAAAATTTATACCGTTCGCGTTTGTTTGTTTAAACTTTATTTACGTTTACCTAAAAATAAGAGTATTTGAATTTTTAATAATAGTTTTATAAAAACATACAAAAAAGTATAGTAATTGCACATTTTATATAGTAATTGAACACATGGACCATATTGGACATACAATTTTTATATAAACATAACAACTTTACATCAAATAACATAAATTGTTAAATATTTTTTAAAGATAAATTGCTGTTTTAGGTAAATTTTTTTTATTTCGATTTTGTAAATATCATATAAATTATATATTTCTTTCTCGGATTCCTCATCCCTTTTCTGGATTCTGAAGGTAACTACTAATTCCTTGGTCGGACTTCTAAAATAGTTTGTTGCAAATATCATTAAGTGTGGTATCTCTAGTTTGTGAAGCATGTTTAGGTCGGAACAGGATGATTTATATACATCTAATATTTTTTCCGCTGGTATGTTAAAAGTATTTACAAATTTATTAATTTTGTTGCCATTAGTTTTTTATGTTCTATATCATGCACTGTATTTAAATCACTGTTATCCTGCAAGATGTGACAAAGAAATTACTATATTACTTACTCTCTAAAAATGAATTAGTCAAAATGTCATAGCGATAAAGCAGCCACTAATAATTCTCGTCAACAGCAATATGTATCCAGGACATTTAGCAGTCAATTCCTATGAAATATTATTCGCTGACTCCGAAAATGTCGTCAAAAGTTATAAAAGTAGAACAGTTTTTGAAATATTATCAATTTTACATATAATATGGAATTGACTGTATCTCAAAAACTTCTATAGTTTTTGACGGTCTTTTCGGATTCAGGGGACAATTTTACATAAGAATTGGCCGGTAAATGTCTGGGATACAAATAGAGTATGAAATTGGACATATGTCCAATAATAGAAATTTACATTTTTTACCAACCAGTAATTGGACACTGGCCATTTAACTGTTTGTTTTCAGAATTAATATTAAAACGCATTAAAGTGACACGGTTTAAACCATGAGGAACACATTTATACCACAAACTGATCTGTACATTTTTAGAAATATTTTATATTGTAATTTAAACACAGCCCTGCTCTTAACAAAAAAACAAAAATCTTACCACCAAAGTAACGTGCTAACTTTTTTGTCCTATATTGGACCCAAAATAAAGTAGTTCTATATTATTACCGACTGAGATATTTATAATTGTATACAGCGTCATCTAATGATTTGACTTTAAGGTAACTATTTGTAGAACTCTTGTTTTTACAATATTAATGTTAATTGTCCAATAACTATAAAGTGTCCCTGTAAAGAATTTAAAAAATAAGTGAAGACCGCATTTTAATGTAACCTTTTGATAGTACGACGCTATTATGAAATTTTTCAAAGATTGTTTATGTCAAAAAGTAGTTTTAAGGTCTAAAATTTCCGATTCTTAACCTACCGTTTTAAAAATAAAAAAGGGGAGAGAAATTACGTCCACCATTACAGCACTGTCCACTGTATTCTCTCTAAAAATGATTTAGTCAAAAATGACTAATTGTCATGGCGAAAAAGCAGCCACTAATGATTCTCGTCAATAGCAATTTGCATCCCGAACATTTAGCAGTCAATTTCTATGTAAAATTTTCCTTTGAATCCGAAAATGTCGTTTTTGATATATAGTTAATTTTCCGAAAAAGCAGCCACTAATGATTCTCGTCATTAGCAATTTGTATCCCGAACAATTAGCAGTCAATTTCTATGTAAAATTTTCCCCTGAATCCGAAAATGTCGTTTTTGATATATAGTTAATTTTCCATATAATATCGAATTGACTATATTTCAAAAACTCTACTTTCATAATCTTTGACGGTATTTTTGGATTCAGGGGACAATTTTACATAAGAAATTTAGAGAGTTAACAATTTCATTATTCACATAATTAAAAACACAAACAATTCAAACATGACACTTTCATTGAAAACTAAAAAGCTTATAAATATTTGACCATTGTTTCTCGTCATAATTTTAGTTTTAAAACTAAACGTTGATAATGATGATAAAAATTGTTTTAGGCCCCAACCAGGAGCTGGATCGAGGCGACTTTCCACAAGCGCGAGTGTTCTCGATTCATATCCCACTCCAAGGACGAATCAAGGTAAGAAATAGTGAAATAGATAAAAGGTGAAATAGATTATCTCGTACCCTCCCTTTTTAAGGCAGACTTGCTTTATAGGAACAGTACGTGGGTATTCAGGTAATAGTAATAAGTTACTTTTTTGTTAAAAGAATAAAACTAGAACCAAATTGGTTTTCACTATTTTTATGTAGCTTTTTACGATTCGAAGGCGGGTGGAAGTAAAATTTAAGTATGCTGGAAAATTGCTCCTAATATTCCTTTATACAGTGAGACCCATTTGTTTGCGACTTACCCCTGTAAAATCTTTATTTATTGTGCAATTTTAACCGGATTTGTTTTAAAGTGTAGATCTTGATAAACTGTATTTTTACAGAATTTTTGAGACTAAAAATTCATATTAGCGGGTTTTTAATCTATGCACGACACTAGATTCACCACCCCTAAAAACGACCCTATACTAAATTTTATTGAAATGTTTAGTGGAAACGATTTTGTAGCCACATTAAAAGTGAACATTATTAACTATTTACAAAAATTTATTCTTTATCCATAAAAAAAACATAAAAATAAAATTAAACTAATAGTAACATGGAATAAAAATTTTCTACTCATATTACGGAATTTGACCCTTCTAATATCACTTTTATCTATGGAATGACATAATATGAATATATTATATTCCGTAAAGTGTTACAGAATGAAATATTCTATCATCTGATGACAGAATAAACACTCGTGGCGACATCTCTGTTTTTAATATCTAACAAATTTAAGACCGATCCAACCTCACTTTCTTCCAATTAAATTATTTTTCTATGGTATTTTTTGGAAACGTAGTAAAAGTATAGTCTGAAACACGTTTGGAATATGCAATTATTGCATATGCAATTATTGCATATTCCGCTCTCGTGAAACCGTCAAACTCGCCTTCGGCTCGTGTAACAAACTCTTCACTCGAGCAGAAAAGAATAGAGAATTGAAAAAACTATCCACAAATAGATTTTCGTCACCTTTACTGCACAAGAACTTCGGGCTAGGGTAAATAAATGGTGGATTTAGTACAGTTGACGAAAATCTAAGTGCACATGTGAGAATTTTTGGAATTCTCTATTTTTTGTTTCAGAAATTTATACCGTTACTATTAGTTTAATTTTATTTTAATGTTTTTTCATGGATAACTTTTATAAATTGTTGTAAATAGTAGTTATTGTCCATTTTTAATTTAGCTACGCAATCGTTTTTACTTTAAATTTTTTAGTAAGATTTTTTTTAAATAGATAATAATATGAATTCTTAAAAATGTACTCTCAAAACACTGACATGGTAGGTTTTGTAAAAAATATGGTGTTTTTTGCCCCAAAAATACAAATTTTCAAGATCTACAATTTAAAACAAAAACGGTTAAAATCGCACAAGATTTTACAGGGGTAAGTCGCAAACAAATGGGTGACACTGTATATTTACATATACATAAGGGGCATTCCACGGCAAATCGACCACTTTTAAAGTGGCTGAAATTTGTATACATATGTACATTCAGGAAAAAATACAAACAAAATAAAGTCATATACGCTAAAGAGGTATCGCTAGTAGCGACACCACTCGGCTGTTATCATCGTAACAAAAGTACAACTTTTGATAATCAGCTGTCAAACGCGTGTCTTACAAACGAGTGTTTTTGAGAATAAAGCCGGAAAATGTTAAAAACATAGAAAATAAGAAAATGTTAAAAACATAGAAAATAAAACCGTTGGGTGTATTTCGAGAGGAAATCCTGGGTTGAGTTTTTATCGGTTTTCCAATAAACAGTGTTAATCCGAATGAAGAAATAAATTTCATACAGTCCCTGTAAATATAAATTGTATCCATTAGATACAATAAATACACATTTTAGTAATGATTAACGTGAAAAGTGTAAACATTTTAATTCAGTTATAATCGTCAAACAAATAAGTCGTCTAAATTTAAACAACATTTAGCATTATTAAAAGCGTTGATTAAGAATTCTTTAAAGTCTTCACTCAACAATAAAATACCATTATATTATGTATTATATATAATATTATGTTGCCATGAATTCGTAGGTATATTTTGTTGTTTAAAATACAGTTGTCGGCGTTTTTTAGAGAACTCAAATATAAAAATGGTTGATTTTAAGGTTATGTTTGTGCAAAAATTATTTTTTACTTATTTCTTAAAAATGTCCGAACTTAAATATAAATTAAATTAGGTAAAGTTATCATTAGTTAATTCTGCTCCAACAAATGTACTTACCGAATTGGATCCTTTGGCAAAACATGAAAATGCAACGATTTAGTTCTTGAATTTTATTTACAATTAAAAACACAATAATTCAACATGATCCCTTGGATAAAATACACACACTAACGTAACTATATAAGTATTTAAGCGTTGAGTTTCTTAATCAATGATATAAAGAATAATCAATCGAAATCGACTACTAAACCAGTTTTTTAGTTTTTCCTTGCATCGTAAAACACAAATAACGGGCGCGATTTATCTGTGCAATTGAACAAAATTTGTCGAGTAAGACTTCTGCCTTCCTCTCTTTTGTGAAAAAACTACCTATTTATTTTAAAATGATGTACAGTTCGTATGCTTTAAATGTATTGTTGGCAATTCTTAAATTCACGCAATGCTTTTGAAGTCCACCAGATGGCGCGCTCGTTGCTAAACCCGATACTTCTTTGGAGTATTGTTAAAAAAATATTTTTTTTACAAAAACTGCCTTTGCCTCTGCGTTTAATGGCGCCAATCCCATATTTTTATCTGAAAAGTACGTTTAAATTTTATTTAAATTTTTAATAAATTCATAACTTTCTGTTGGGTTGCAAAATTTTAAATAATTTACAGAAACGTTTTAGTGGGGTAGCATAACATTTCAGCCAAATCCAATTAGGTCGAGTTCAAAAGTTATTTGAAATAAAGATTTTAAGGCAATAAAACTTAAAAATAATCTCTTGCAGATAACCAAAAACGTCCAAAAGAAAATTTAGGGAAACAAATTACAAAACTAAAATAATTATGTGCGCAATATTAACATTAAATCAGAGAGTGTGTTTTTCATACAAAATTGTGAAATTACGAAAACAACTCATAATAAAATGTAATGGAAAAAGGCTTTACTTGACCACCTAATTCTTAAAAGTCATTTATAATAAAATTGCAATTTATAAATTCAGACGTTTTAAAAATAAATTTTTCTATTTCTACCTTTAAGTGACCTTTTAAATACACATTGACAAGCTAAAGGTTTTTAGTCACGGGCTGAAGTTATTAGCTTTAAGTTGTCAAATGTCATACAATTGTTAAAATAAAGTGCCCTTCTTTTGAAATAATACTAAATATCAAAATTATTGTATTATCTTTCTCAATGGCAATAATTGAAAAGTTTATATGAACATTGTACCTTTTAATTTCGTCGGCAGTAAACTAGATTTAACTTAATTTTGGGTGGAGACTCCACCGTGGAGTGCCAATAAAACATTTTCTTTACTTTCACTGTAGAAAACTTTTTCCATATCGGATTAAACGGTCCATTTAAGGGAGACATTTCGATTTTTACACAAAAATATTTGACATTTGTTACTCTATTATTTCATAGATGTCGCCTTATACAAATATTTAATTCAAATCATTTTTAGATAAACTTTTCTCGTTCTCATTTAATTAAGCAGTCTAAAATGACGTTCATCAAACTTGATACATAATATACTAATACGTAAATAGCCTTTAATATCAAAACATATTTAAAACAAAAAAAAACATCAAAACAAATCATTAAAAACCGCAAAAAGGAACATGTTCTGCAGTTGCGCCAGTTAAATTTGTAATCAAATCGGGAATGCAATTCAATGAATAAATTATGAAGTTTTTGATGTAACAGGTTAGTTTAAAGCACTCGGTTTTATTTTTTTTACATTTCCATCTATCGATCCTTTTTTATGAACCTGGCCTGCTTATCATTTTCTAAAATGCGACCTTAGCGTGCTGTGCCTCCGTAAATATTAACTTTTCTTCCGGGTGGCACGAGAATAAATGAATCTAAAACAGGTGTTTGTAAAAAAAATAATTGTTACGGAATTTGGGTTTCAGGAAAATTACTTTACTTAACAATTTATAACATTTCAAAAAAATCCTGAAAATATGTTTTACTGCACTGTTTAAAATATCTGTGGTGTAAAGAGTAATCTTAAAATGGTGTCAAAATCCAACATCAAGTGGTGTTAATATAAACACCATGAATTATGGTTGAGAATGTTATATACAGCAAACACCAAAACGGTGTTTATCTAAAAATATTTGAGAAGTGCACCTACACAGAAAAAAAGGAATAGTTCATTTAACTATATTAATTTAGTTGACCCATAAGTATTTATTTCAAACAACAAAACGATTAAAACAATTTGCCGTGCATTCATGGTTGCATGGTGTGTACCGATCGCGGTGTAGATCACGTGATGTTCTTAAATCTCGCCTCTGTTGACTTACATGAAGAGTATATAAGCTCAGGTAGTCCTTTTCTTTGGTGTGACACTACAAGTTGTTCGATACTAGAGACCTTAAATAGGTGGAAACAGCTGTCAATACTTTAAGTATTTTAAGTTGGTGGAACGCACTAAAAACATTATCTCTAGCGAGTTGAAGGTTCAATTTTCTGGAATAATACCACTGGTAATATACTATTAATGCATCAAGGAACTTCCTGTTTCATTTTTTTTCCTTTTTTTCTGTGTAGCATGATTTAATTTGACCAAAAACACATAATATTTAACACTGAAAAGGAGTTCAATTTACACCAGGAAAAATTTATTTTAATAATGTGTGAAAGTTAAATTTACACTATTTTAGTATTTGAATTTACACCGGACCAACGAACCATATTTAACACCATTTTGGTTTGTATCGATATAGACCATGTATGGTGTTAATTTGGTGTTAAAATGGTCATGAACAGTGTGTATAAATAAAAAGAAAACTATTTAATTTAATTGATA